ATAATATAAAATTTTCTAATATATATTTAATAGCTCTCTAATATAATCGATTATATATATATATATAGTATAAAATTTAAATTTAAAATTTTCATTTTCTCTTCTATCATAAAATGATTAATTTCTTCTGTTAGAATAAACCAAAAATTTTTTTCTTTCTCTTTCCCTTTCTTTCTCTCTCTGTTTTTTTTTGACTATATATCATATAAATAAAGCAAAAGCAAATTCCTAAGAGTATAAATAGCGACGACTAAAATAGATTATTGAAGGGTTTTAGGATAGTCATTTTATCTTTTCACTCTTATTCTTTTTCATTCTCCTTCTGGCCAATCATCTTTCCCATATCCATTTATCATTCTTTATCACAAATGAATCATTCATTCGATCTTTGCGGTATTACATTCATTCGATCTTTGCGGTATTGCGAAGATTAGAATGGATTATTTCACTCTTCGACGAATGCATCTAAAACAGATCATCAATTTAATTATATGCATGCTTCTAATGATGTCACTTTTTGAATTTGTTTTGAATCTTTCTTTTCTCAAAAATATCAATTATTGATATTATTCTTGATCTTTCATACGACTTAATAAGGAGGAATGACAAGATAATGATAATAATAATAAATAAATAAACAAATAAATAAATAAACAAATAAATAAATAAATAAACAAATGAATAAATAAATAAACAAATAAATAGTAGTAATAATAATAATAGCAGTAAGAAGAGAAATAAGTTAAAGTGTTAAACAATAACATGCGAAGTCATTTAAATAATGATAAAATAAGATTCTGAAAATTTGAATCTGAAGGACCATTTAGAATGTTTATATAGCATAAATGAACAATTATTCACAAGTTACTTCATTCTTGACAATTACAGATTCTTAGAAATATATTAATGTTAAAATTTTGAAAATTTTTAAATTTTTAAATTAAATTTTCTTAAATATTTAAATTCATTGTAAATTAAATTATTGAATACATTCGATTCAATAATGTAAATTAATATTTTATATTGTAGAAGAATGAAGAATTAACAGAATGTGCTACACAAGTGGATGATACATCAATGATTGAGCATATTCACGCATTGCAACAAGAAATTATTGATACACGTGCACGTGAAGCGGATAATGAAATTACTATTAAAGAGTTAAAAGTTCGAATTCAGGTGAGATACAGAGGAATTCGTAATAATATACCGTAATGATATCTTTATTATTTTGGGATTAATTGTATGGATGTTTAATTACATGGAAGATTTAAATATTTTCCAAGTCTTTTTATAACAAAAAAATATATTTCAATTATTAATTTCTAAAATTGTCAATAATAATTATTATGAATAATTGTAGGAATTAGAATTAACAAACAAAAGACTGCGTGAACGACCACCGGATGATGGTATTGCCGGTTTGCAGGAAGAATTAATTTCAGTAAAAATGCGTGAAGCTGAAGCTTCTTTATCACTCAAAGAAATGCGACAGCGACTTGCTGAATTAGAACAACATTGGACGGTTGTTTTTTCTATTATTAATTATTTTAAAATATTATTTAAATATCCATTGAACTATGCATATGAGATATTATTGAACTATGCATATTGAAAGATAAATTATTGATTTGTTTTTATAGTTCTTTCAAGTATTGCGTAATTCGTAACTTGTAATTCTTTACTATAATACTTATATATTTTTCTTAGGAAGCATAAAGTAAATAAATTAAGTTTGAAAATAATTTGCAGAAATATGTTAGCGGTAGAGTATTGGAAAATGGTACTTCAAAATTATGTTTGGAATTGCGTCCAACACCTTCCAACAATTTTAACTTACAATCAAATAATACTGCAATTAATGATTCGCAAGGAGGTATAAATATTTTTACGAATGATCTTAATTCTACACGTATCAAATGGTTTCATGTAAGAAATCAAAAGAATCATATTTAGTAATATAATTTATTTTAATAAAGAACTATTGTCGTAGTCGTTTTAAATATCATTTGATAAAGAATAAAAGGAAAATGATAGGAAGTTAGATTAATTTTTGTAATATCTCAATTTAACTAAGGGTTACATTTTTTTTCAAATATTGTTTGGTAAACTTTAGGTACCACGCCAAATGACAAAATATCACAACAACAGCAGCAGCAGCAGCAACAACAACAACAACAACAACAAACTTCAACGGTAGTACCACAAAGTGCTCGGCAACGTTTAGCTAAATTAACAGCAACTTTAATTGGAACTATCAATGCTGAATCATCAGATGCTACTAGTCCTTCAGATTCTGGTATAATATATTTCTTTGCTTAAAACGAATGAATGTAATATGATATGATGTTGATGAATTTTTGCTATCATAAATTTTTTACAGGTTGTATAACAATAAAAGAACTTGAGGATCAATTAATGGGTGTACGAATTCGAGAAGCGGATACTGTTGCTGAGCTAAAAGAAATGCGACAAAAAGTGATGGAGTTAGAAACACAAGTTAGTTTCTCTCAATTTATGCATAAAACTTAATTTGAAGTTGTAAAAGGAAAATGCGGAAATTAAAACTAAAATTAAATTAACATTATTAAGTAATTTTATTTATTAGTGACTGTAAATGTAAGATATATTCATTAATTAATATATTTCGGGTAATCAAATTATAGCATTCATCCACTTTTCACTTCTAGTTCCGATTAATTAATTTCTCATTTTGCTAAAATTCATTAATTATTTATTCATAATCAAATTACACCAGAACATAAATCGGTTTTTTTTAATATTGAAAATTTAAATCAAATAAATTTGATTATGATATTGTGAAATATGTTTTGTTTTTGTTTCTTATATTTTTCAAAAAGGTTTAACTTTTGTTTTAACTAATTTTGATTTAAAACCTTCGATTCATTTATTAATGAATAAATTAGAAATTATTCACAAACGATTAAACTTTTATTATTATATAAAATATTTTATTATAAAATTATAATTTATTATTAAGGAATGAAAATGAAAAAAAAAAGATTTGATG